TCACGCTCTGGCAAGAAAGAAGGCCACAGCCAAATGGAAGGCTTCCAGTCTAGTGAGTCTTGAAACAGACAAGGCACCCCACAAAGCTCCCAAAAGATGAGGTACTGTTCAATCTAAAGAATAAACTTTACTTTAATTCTCCCATCTGTGAAGCATTAGTTCCTTTTAAAATTTGTCTGCAGGTATTAAGCGAACAACCCATAAACCTCATTCAACTAAAAGGTTGGCCACAGCCTCTCCATCTTCTCCTTTCGAAGCCTCATCTACTGTTAAAGCTCGTCTACAAACCTTGATTGATGAAATAATTCACAATCCCATTACTAAGGACCCAGTTGATAAGTCTCCGAGCCACGAAGGTTCCGACTCCTCCTCTTCAGATGTCCAAAAGTCTTCACCTAAGACGAGAGGCTCTCGTTCTTCCTTGTGGCTTGCTAACAAAAATTTCAAGACTGTCAACCCAAATGAAGTGGTTGATCTCTCTCCAAAAACCAAGAAAACAACACCTTCCACTGCATTACCCCATTTCAAACTAGCTTTCCAACTTCCAAGGTAAGTAACCTGTTTGTGAAAAGTCATAGTAGAATTTGCCTTGAACTTTCTGCATATACATACTATTTTTTTTTTTTTAACAAACCTCAACTCCTCTTACCACTACTAACGATGCCGTGGAAGATGAAATCTTTGCCAAGTTTGAGAAATTGAAAAGTCCTCCTATACCAAGAAAATCACACCTTATAGGAAAGGGAAAATTAGTGGTTGAGACCATTAGCATAGACTCGCCAGTACCTAGTTCAGAACATATTAGCATTGCTATCCAGACCTTGGAAGAGCTTGTTAGTGGGGATCCAATAAACTTTTGTCGCATTCCAGATCAGCCAACTATTATCAACGCTGCTAAAATCATAAGTCACTACTAGATTTATCTATAGCTCAGAAAAAATTCTAGATTGATTTCCCTTTTATATTCATAGATTTTTGCAGGCGCTTTGCAATCAAATCAGATGTTATAGGGAGAGCTGAGTCTGCTCGTAAAATTGTGGCTGATGAAACTGCAACCTTGGTCAGCAAGAAGGTGAAGTGTCTATCCGTAAAGCATGATCATGAGACTCAGACTAAACACATCCAGACCAACCAAGATGAAATCAAGCACTTTGAGTCTGAATTATCTAAGTTTCATGAGCAACTTTCTTCCCATGAGGAATATGCAAATATCTTATCTGACCAAAGGACTCATGCATTTGCTGAACTAAACTCTCACATCGATCATGTTGCCACTTTACAACAAACTTTGGAGACATTAACAAACTCTGCTAACCAAGCTGAAGAAGAGCTCACCCTCATGAGGATGGAATGGATAAAGGATAGCATCATAACAACCTCGATAACGGCTAGCCAACAAAAATGGAGCAAGTGCCAAGCGTCTACCATGAGCTAAAGCTAAAGCTAGAGTGATATATTCCTTGGTGGGCCCTTTTCCAGCTACACAAATAATGAACTTGCAAATTAAGGTTAGCATAAATGCAGTATGTTCTTTCACATTTGGTCCTTCAGATGGGTTTGGGCTGGCTTCAATGAAGGCATTGTAAGACGGTAAAATGGATTTTGTATTGAAGTTAGCACCTAGGACATTCAATAAAGCTATGATTTCTTCTCTAATGTAAGGCAAGCCAGTAAGAGAACAAATGTAAAACAAAGTAACAGACATAGCACCGTAAGGAAAATGAAAACAGTTATAAGACCTAGACCAAAACAGTAAAGCAGCTTCAACCAAAACCCTATCCATGGACGTTTGGTAAGTGGTCATCTGGATAAATTCATACAGACACAGTGTTTTCCCTGTGTTTCCAAAGGGTTTTTTTCTAGCTGAGTAACCTAGGAAGGCCAATCATCAGTTTTATTAGTTGGCCAAGATCCAAACCTACCGAGCCAAGGCTCCCAATCTAGTTCAAGTTGGAAAAGGAGGAAGTGTCTGTGAGGTTGTGGGTACAAACATGCAAATTTGAAGGAGGTGTTGATGTGAAAACAAGACCCAAAATTAATGAATATGAAGTTTCAAGAAAAACATGGTCTGAAAAGCTTCTCAAAACCTTGTTACAAATTGAAGAAACCTCTTCTTGTAGATCTCGATTTTCGAAGATGTCAACAGGGTCTGTCGGTTCTGGAGGATTAGATTCAGGAGGAGAAGTTTTGGCTGCGCCAAGGTTTGTATCGGTTTTCTTGCTGCCAGCCATGGTCTGGGGTTCAGATCCAGAGATGGCGAGGCTAAGGAGGATAACAAAAGGTGGGTCTATTCTGTTTTGATTGTGATTCCCCAAATGAGGTGTTGTTGAATGTGGGGTAGAAGATGAGTCAATAGTTTAAAAAAAAAAGAAAAGAAAAAGGCGAGTTGACGGAGAATATTTATATATATTTAAATGAAGGAGGAGATTGAGAGGTGATAAGGAAATCTGTAGATTTTTGGGAGGGGAAGCAAAAAGTTGAGATTTAGATTGATTATGCATGTGGCTTTAGGAATCCTTAAAGGTGAGTTCAAAATTTAAACACTTGGGTTTATTCCCATAAAACCAAGTATTGGGAGGCATTTTTTACACCTTAAAAATAAATCAATGAGATAATGCCATGTGTTAAGAGTAAGCCTAATCCTTAAGGAAAGTCATTAAGTTGGATTAGGTGGAATTGGGTTAGGCTAACTTGGAATTAGGGCCTAGATGAATTTTCAAGGAGGTTGGAGTTTAGGTGGCAGAAGATAAGTTGGGTTCTGGTGTTTAAGTTTGATTGAAAGTAGGAAATTGAAAGTTTTAAGGAGGAGGTTATCCTTAGGGTTTATTGGAGATCAAATTGAATCAAAAATAGAAAACTGCCAAACAACTACCAGACATGGAGTCCCCACTATTCAGTCATGGTGAGAGAGCGCCAAGAAACATGGAGGAGGTTTCCTAGCACCAAAGGAAAGAAAAACAGGAAAAAAGATCAGTTCCAAACGGCTTGCCCTACACACACTACCCAAAGCATATGTTTTTCAACTTTCATATTTCTTTCTCCTAGATTTCAGCATAATTTCCAGATTAGTTTGCAAGATCTATTCTTATTCATAACTTTAGTTTAGGTTTTTCCATTTTTGTTCATATCTTTCCTTAAAGATTTTGACTTAGGTTAGTTTTTAAGCATTTGGAACTAGATCAACATTGAGAATGGGTTTGTCCCATTGATTTGGTTAGTTCTTCTTTCTCTTATGGATTCATCTATGTTATTTGTTCAGGTAAATATGTTGAATGCTTTCTGTCTTCTTTTCCTTTTGTTTGCGTAATTGTTAGACTTGTAGTTTACTTAATTTCAATTTCCAGATTTAATTTTACAATTTTCCAAACTTTAATTATTTCGTAGATTCTCCTTTAGTTTTAGTTATCAAGTAGTTTGGTTATTTTTATTTTAAATCTACAAGTAATTAGTTTAATTATTATGGATTGCATAGTGGAAATTATTGTCTGTGATTTTACATTTTCTGTTGTCTGCGAGTTTTATTTTTGTGGCATGTTATTTTCTTTTATTGATTTCATGTTAGGTTAATTGCCTTAGGATTTTGTGTTAATTTTAGGATTTGTAGCAATTATTACACTTTTGTGGTTATAAAGTCCTTAGAGGTTTCTAAGGCAATTAGTAACCCATTTTGCAGAACTCTACCCTCTATTTTGCAACATCGTTTGGGGCACAATTTATTTCACAGACATTCTTTCTAGCCATCCTTTTGGAGGTTGACTATTGGAAAAGAGAAGGGTCATCTGGAAAATCATGTTTTCGTGTTTTTAGACAAAGCAAGTGGCATGCTTAATACCCACACTCACGTGGTCAAGGCTGGCTAAGGATTTTTGGGGAAACAATCCTTTGTTGGCACGTCCAGTGGGACTACCAGCAAGGTGTATTAGTTAAGGTTCCTCTGTTTATACATTTGAAGGCGTCTGAAGCCATGCCACCAAGAAAGAGCAGAGATAAAAAGGTTCAGCCAGCCCAGGTTGAACATGTAGATGATAGTCCAGTCTACTTGGAGGGTGAGAATGATCTAGTTGTTCCTCCCCTCTCATCACCCTTCGTGGAGCGATCTTATGGCAATCCAATTTTCAAGGAAAGGTATGCAAACGACAAAGATGAAGTTGCAGAGTCATGTAATATGATTAGAAACTTGATTGAATGTTTTGAGATATCATGTAGAGAGTGGGCTCAAGATATTCAGAAAATCGTTGAGAAACAAGAAGAATCTTCCAGACAGCATGATGAGGCGATGAGACAATATATGGTTGAACTGAGACGAATCTTTGAAGAAGGCTCTAGGGTGATGCGTGAAACTAGAGAGGAGAGTCACAGAACACTGTAGGCTATTTCAAAACAAGTAGTTGAGCAAGTGTGATAGCCTAGACCTGAGATCCCTCCTCCAGCCGTGGAAATTTCCAAACAGATTCAAGAAGCCTCAATCCTAGCACTCGGGGGGCCAGGAAATCAGCCTGATCCTAATGTTCAGCATCATAAGTTTTTCATGGGTGACGGGCAAAGAAACACTAATCAATGGAGGCTGCTGCTTCTGTTGCAGACCATGGCCATCAACCTCAGCATAGGTATATTCCGCCAGCTAGGAGGGGAAATGTGGGTCCTCATCATCAACCCCATCCAAGGGACTTTTTCCAGCCACAAGTCCCACCAAGCATGCCAACAAAGGATTGTTTCCCCAAAAATCCTTAACCGGCCTTGACCATGTGAGTTTGGGTATTAGGCATGCCACTTGCTTTGTTAAAAAAAAAAAAAAAAAGAAAACAAGATTTTCCAGACGACCCCTCTCCTTTCCAATGGTCAACCTTCAAAAGGATGGCTAGAAGGAACGTCTATGAAATAAATTGCGCCCCAGACAATGTTGCAAAACAGAGGGTAGAGTTCTGCAAAATGGGTTACTAATTGCCTTGGAAACCTCCAAGGACTTTACAACTACAAAAAATGTAATTAAAGCTACAAATTCTAAAATTAAGACAAAATCCTAAGGCAATTAATCTAATATGAAATCAATAAAAGAAAATAACATGCCACAAAAATAAAACTCGCAGACAATAGAAAATGTAAAATCACAGAAAACAATTTCCACTACGCAATCCATAACAATTAAACTAATTACTTGCAGATTTAAAATAAAAATAATCAAACTACTTAATAACTAAAACTGAAGGAGAATCTATGAAATAATTACAGTTTGGAACCTTGTAAAATTGAATCTGAAAATTGAAATTAAATAAACTGTAGGTCTAACAGTTACGTAAATACAAGGAAAAGAAGACAAAAAGCATTCAACCTATTTACATGAACAAATAACATAGATGAATCCATAAGAGAAAGAAGAACTAACCAAATCAATGGGACAAACCCGTTCTCAAGGCTGATTTGGTTCCAAATGCTTAAAAACTAACCTAAGTTGAAATCTTTAAGGAAAGATATGAACAAGAATGGAAAAATCTAAACTAAAGCTATGAATAAGAATAGATCTTGCAAACTAATCTGGAAACTATGTTGAAATCTGGGAAAAAACGGTCAGAAAGTTGAAAAACATATGCTTTGGTCAGGTCGTTTGGAACTGATTTTTTCTTCTTGTTTTTCTTTCCTTCGGTGTTGGGAAACCTCCTCCATGTTTCTCGGCCCTTTCTCACCGTGACTGAGTAATGGGAACTCCACGTCTGGTAGTCGTCTAGCAATTTTCTATTTTTGGTTCAATTTTATCTCCAATAAACCCTCGGGATAACCTCCTCCTAAAAACTCTCAATTTCCTACTTTCAATCAAACTTAAACACCATAACCCAACTTATCTTTTGCCACCTAAACTCCAACCTCTTTGAAAATCCGTCTCGAGCCCTTTAATTCCAAGTTAGCCCAACCCAATTCCACCTAATCCAACTTAATGATTTTCCTTAAGGATTGGGTTTACTCTTAACACATGACTTTATCTCATTGATTTATTTTTAAGGTGTAAACAGTATGATAAAAATTTATAAAACTAAGATTGTTCCTACCAAAGTTAAATGAAAAAGAACAAAAAATTCTATACAAATACAAAAAGATATAAAATAAAGAGTATTTACAAAATAG